AAATTCTCTTGATTTGTATTAATAGATTTACAGAGAGATAAAATAAAAAAATGTATCAGATACTCTAATTTCTCATTCTAACAATCGTCTAGACACTTCAGAAAACATAATTTTACGATCTAAATCAAGTCCATTCTAAAAAAAACTGATTACTCAATCGTGTAATGTAGACTATATGATCTTCTTGATGAATTAAATATATGTCAAATACGATTATTGTTAAGATACACAAAGGAAATGAATTTCGATGAGCAAGCAATTAGAAATCCATTATTAAAAGTCGACAAATTTATTTTGCTTTAATTATTCATTGTAAAGAATTTCATTAACTATATTTTGGAAAAAAAAATTCAAATTTTTAACTGATATGTATTTGCAGAGATATTTACAAAATATTTGATGTTGCACTCATTTTGTCTCACTTAATATATGTTAAAAATCTTTCTGTTTGTTTGTTTTTCTCTTTTTGCTTACCAATATCAACAATTGCATGTGCTCGTGTAAATTGATCAGTTAAATCTAATTTTTCATCAGATCCAAGTTCATTTTGTTGTTGATTATTCGTTTCATTAATTGTTGTTGTTGAATTTTGTGTTGGCAAATGATTGGTTTTTTGTTCAGCATGATATAAATATTCATAATCTTTACGTGCTATTTCTTCTAAACAAGTACCCAAATAACGTAATTCTAGTGGTTGACATAAATGTAATAAACCATATAAAAATTCAATACGTTTAGCTCCACTTAAATGATTAAAATATCGATGAATTTGCTCTTGATTTAACATGGATTTTTTATGCCTAAATTAACCGAGTTATTTATTTCTTTTTATTTGGTTTCAACGAGAATAAATAATAAGATTTTAATATTTAATAATTTAAATTCTACGTCTTCTTATTTAATGATTATGACATGATTGTACTCGTTAGATGAATAATACGTTCTAAATAAAGAAATTACGATTGAAAAACAAAATATCGAACGAAATTCGATCAATATCAGACGCTAGAGAACGACGAAAAAAAAACAGAGAACGATCATACCTCGATCTCCTACAGATTTATCCTCTATCTATTCCCTGTCACACATATTATTCCATTACTAACTTAGCCGATATTTAATCGGGTACAAGATAGACAGAAAATGAATGCGCCCAATCATACAAATATATTTCATAGATGTCATTAAAAGACAACCTTTACAAAAACGTGATAAATATTGTTATGTCTGACAACTGTGTATAATTACCTGTCATTGTATACTGATCAAATGATTCTCTTTTTTTTTCTATATTTCATTCGATCGATTGAATTTTGTTGGAAGAGAATCTGTTGATAAACATGTTTAGAGAAAGAACGTAAGTTTTCTATATTAGATTTGCTTCTGTTTTTATGTCGTTTAAAAAATGTTTTTAGTACATCTTACTTACGACATTTACATTTGGTTGTACATTCAGAACAACAAAGGTTTGAATAAATATATGGGATTTTTTTTAGAAATAAATGAGAAATTATTCTTGTAGATTACGTTTTCCTGTTTATGTCATTCAACAGGAAGAGTCTTCATCTCGACCGCAACACTTAGAACCTTCATATGAAACAAAAGCAAATGTGTTTCGTACTTATTTACAAACGGTAACAATTTATGATCAATATTCAATTGGGGAAAGACAGATAGGAAAAAGTTCATATACTTTACTACACACGCAACCTTTGGAAAGTATACGATAAACTCGACGAGCGGTAGATAATTTGAAATATATATATTTTTTTGTTTGTTCTGTTCCAGCTTTGAGCTCCTCGACAACCATTGAACTCTGAGTACTCGAAAAGTGTATTCTATTGGATACTCATTTTTGACTCCTCAAATACGTTTCGATCCTTCGGCACTCATCGAAATTTCGATTGCTTGAGACAAAGAAAAACATATCGAAATAATAACTTTCAGTGTTCCCGTAAAAGCAATATGGAAATGTCTTCTACTTTTATTTAATGATCTTAGAGATATTTTAACATCACCTGTGGAAAACTAAGATAAAAATCCGTCATCATTCTTGTAGAAGACATATTTCTAATGAATTTTCAAGTTTTAAACCTTGAAAAAGAGTTTCGAAGTGTTGATTCGACACTCTATCACGCAAATCAGTTAATTATTGAATAAGCTTTTTATATAGTATTTGAAACCCAAGCAAAGCTTGTCATTTAGTTAGAGACGTACAGTTTTTTTTTCTTAAATAGAAAAATGTTATTATTTAATATTTTAAATTAGTAGTGAATGTTAATAATACAACAAACACTTTCTACAAGAATAATAGTTTATAATGAGTTTAGATATTTGACGAAATCGAATTACACGGACAAATCGTTTTTATTGTGATCAAGTTTCGATGCTCATCGGAACTTGAAATCAACATATCGAAATGCTTTTTGAATGATTGGTTAGATAATTGATAATGAAACGTGAATTGTAGAGAGCAAACGTCTATTGGATAATGTACCTCATTGTCAGTTATACACTAAAACTTTTCCTATTGAGTCATTATTCGACCAGTCTTTAGTTTCTTTTTATCAAAACCGACTAATATACATGTAATAGACTATTAATCTGAAATACTTCTAGAAATGCTCCAATCTTCATTATTGTATTCTGATTTTATTCTTAATATTATGTCTTATCGGTGCTATTGCTTTACTTTCTTCTCTTTTAACTCATAATACAAATATTAAACAATGTCCAATTTATGAGTGTTCATGGATGAATGCAACTACAGATTCGATCATAGGAAACACAACAACATCATATAACTTTAATGTAACTAGTGAAATATCATTTGTACCTAATTGGAATATATCATTCAGTTCGACAATAACATCCACAAGTACGAGTACAATAATATTTGATAGAAATTTATTGTATGGTGATAATTGTACAGAACATGAACAATGTACATTATCAAAAAATTTATTTTGTGAATATGAATTTGATTTAAATCAAAAACACTGTTTTTGTGAAACAACTTATTTTTGGAATAAAAATACACAACAATGTGGTTAGATTCTTAATTTTTAGTTTTTTAATTTATTACTGTAATTTTTCTTTTTTTTTTTAAGAACCAAAAAAAGATATCAATGAAGGTAAGTACTATCGTTTTTTTTCAAAAGAAAACTTTTGCTTTGTTTTTCTTTCTTAGTTTGTCAATATGATAATGAATGTCGTCTTGATCTTGGTATTACATGTGATCTTAAAACAGGTGCAAATATACGACATTGTCGTTGTATGGGTGAATATTATTGGTCAAAAATAAGTAATTGCGGCGCTTTAAAAATTCAAGATTTCGTGCATTGTACTGATGAAATATATATATCATCATGTTTAGTCAAAGAAATTGATAATGGTATTTATCATAATGTTAATATTCGACAAATTCAAGATGATGAAATTGAATTTGATTATTTTGTTCTTGATTCACCTGAAATACAAGAAATTGAACGTATAGAATGTTGTTGGTCAATAAATAAACGTTATTGTTTTGGTATTGATAATGAAACAAATAAATTACTTATTGTTATTATTGATATCAATGGTATAGAATCATATCGTCGTATAAATCAATCAGTTATTGGTTTACCTAATGTATTAAGACAAACTGATAACACAGTTGTATGTTATGTTGAAGGAAATGATTCAAATTTACTTTCCATTACAATTGAGCCAAAAAATAATGACTTATTAACTGTACATCAACGTGGTGGTATGTTAATTAATAATTAATTATTTTCAAAATAAAATATTGAAATTTTTAAAAAAGGAAAAACTTATGGTGAACGATCATGTTTTATAGCAATTAATCGTACAGCTTATTGTTTTTATCGTGATATTGATCGTCATTTAACAGTTGTAGCTATGAATGGAACAACAACAATACAAGATGTTCATATGGATGTTCATCCAGGTCTTTAAAACTGAATTAATTAATTTTCTGTTTGTTTTTGTTTTATATTGTTTTTATTTTTGTAGATATAAATTTAAAAACAGGACCTTCTTGTGGTTGGGTTGGAACAAATATTCTTTTGAAACTATATTGTTTTGCAGTATTTAATGATGAAAAAATTCATCGAATTGAACAAAAAGATAATATTTGGACTAATTGGACGATTATGCCATCAGATAAAATATTCATTCAACGTCCACTTTTTGTTACTTCTAAACCACCTGAAGATATCAGTACGGCTCAGAGGTTATCGAAAAATTCTTATTTAAGAAAACTAATCAATTGAACATTTTTTTGTTGTTTTTTAGTTGTCATGTATTAGCAATTGATACGAGTAATGAAGTTTATGTTAGTAGTAATACAAATTGTGCTCATCAAGAATCATTTTCGCCATGGTCGTTACTTCAAACCGATGTTGGTTTGTTATCATTTAATGGATCATTTCGTTTACGTGATGGACGTGTTGGTGTCTATGGAATTGGTATTGATGATTTACCATATTACACAACGATGAATCCTGTAACACATAATTTTGAACCTATTAAATTAGCTGTATCATTCGAATAGTATGCTTTTCTTCTGTTATTTATAAATAGATCTCAAAGATTAGAATAGAGTCTTTTGTTTATCAACAAATAGTTAATACTGATTTATATTTGATGGGTCCAATTGATATCTGCAGCATGTCACATTGATCTAATATGATTTAAGTCACGTTCGAGTTGGATATCTTGTCACATTGATATATTCGAGTTACATTGTAGATTAATCGTGTGAAGATCGAATTATTTTTTTTTGTATAGAAAAAAGGTTGATTTTCAGCTACAAAATCAATCATAGTGAAAAATTATTCATCGTAATATTTGTTACCCAGAATTTATACAAAACATGTACAATGTTTAGTTTTTAACAAAAGACACAAAACAACAATTCACTAACATATGTGAAGAGAGTTTATTGCAAAAAAAAACTAAGAATTGAACAAAATAGGAAGTTTCTCGAAAGAACCAACAACACAAAGACCTAAATTACAATCTTTACATATACGACCTGAATCAATCCTCTTTTTATGTCTTCAACTAGAGCGTGTACGTGCAACACCAGTTTCTATTTGTAATTTGAGATATGCGAAATGAAAAGTGTCTATTCCTAAGTCTAGTTGATTGATAAATCCATACAGTACAATCTATTGTAGATTTTGAAGCACTATACATTTCTAAGATTTCATGAATAAGTCATAAACAATAATCTACAAATTTAAGTTTCTTTTCGATATTGACTTTATAAAGTAAACATGCAAAGAACGATGTTACTACTTTTCACCTCATTTATATATCGTTGTATCGAGTGTATTGGTAATTATTATCATTTTAAATACTTTCGCACAATATATATACGTAGGTGAAGTTAGCACCAGATTCGAGTAAATCCCGCCAAGATTCGCCCAGGAACATGTTCCAACTGTCCCAAGGTGTGTTCCAAGTACAACTCGATGAGCTCTATCGAATGATATATTCAGA